AGAACGCCACACAAAGAAGGGAGAAACACCACGCGAAGAAAAAGAAGGGAGAAACGTTACGCAAAGAAGGGAGACACGCCACGCAAGGAAGGGAAAAACACCACGCAAAGAAGGGAGTAACGTCGCGTGAAGAAGGGAGAAACACTGCTCAAAGAAGGGATAAACGATGCGCGAAGAAGGGAGTAACTCCGCGCAAAGAAAGAAGTAACGCCGCGCGTGAATGAGTATAGCGTCGTGTGCAAGGGAGGTCAACGCCATGTGCAACGCTGCCATGCATGGCCAGTTTTTGCCGCTTGCCTAGCTGCATGTGAGTGGCTCGCCACTTGTCAACGATGGGATGCCACCTGCCACCTGAGGAGTATTTAAGCCCTCCTCCTTCCCCTCACGCCACTAGCACCCACACTCTCTTATTCTTTCTCTCTTTAGAGAGAGTGAAGGACTTGGATAAGGCTCCTTTAGCTCACTGTTGGAGAGCTTGAGAAGCTTGGTGGACAGTGGGAGGAGAATTGGTATCACCATTGGGACACAAAGGTAAATAGATCGCTACCTTGCAGACCCATGAGCATGAAAATATGAATGAAGTAAGGTTTGTGCATAGTTTGAACATAAGCATATGCAAAAATCATTACTGCATTCTTCAAAAAGTTGCTTTCTCATGCATGATGAAAATAAGCATTGAAATCCTTTTGATAGCACTGAAATTCTGTGGGGTGATACTCTTGTGCGTCTTGTCTAAGCTAGAATTGGCTTCATGTTGTTACCTTGCATAGACTAAGAGTTAGGAGATGATTACTATGAAATTCTAAGGAGAATTGAGGTTTTTTGTGGCTCTTTGTTAACCTATCAAATAATCTCAGAATTACCTAAAATGACCACCATTGGAAAGATCTCTGAGTCTATTTTGAGTTTGATGCTTATGTCCAGTTGAGAGGTTTTGTAGTTTGAAAGATATATTTCATTTATGCATGTATATTATTGTTAGCAGACTGTGATAATTTCCAGAAATATTACTTCTGTTACATTGAGATTTTGCCTGACCTATTGATATCCAAATGATACAAAAATATAGCCATTTGATAGATGCATGAGTTTTCTATGATTTTCATGTTTTAACCTTGCCCAAATTCTGTGTAAATGAGGGACTATGTTAAAAAATGTTCCAGTATATCACTGTTGACAGATCTCACAGAAACCTAGAATTTTGGTCTCTGTTGCCATGAAATTTGGCTGACCAAATGGAGTCCAATTACTCCGAAACCACAGCCATGTGAAATATTTGAATGTCTACTAAAAATTGCATGTTGAAATTGTTTCGAAATTCCTGCTAGGTTGAAAGCTATGATTTAAAATGTGAACATATGTCACTAATGGAAAAATTCAGCAAGATTCAAAACGATATACTAATACTCAGTTAGCAAATTGGAATCGAAATTTAATTAATTTCCTCTCATAATTTGGGTGCTATACTTCATTCTGTATATGCCCATGATTGATAAAAACAACAATGAATTTTAAGTTGTATATGAATTATGCACATGTCATGCAACGATGTTTTTGAACCTAGCTTAATCCTTTTGCAAGGTGATTGTAATTTTTTGTTATAAGAGACCGAAATGGCATGATTGTGACCTATGAATATTGAATGTTCCTGACCTCTTGAAAAGAGTAAAGTATGAATGAATGAATGCTATGCATGCTTATACAATGTTGAACTGATATATGTAATTTCTGGCCACTACATAATGTATCCTCCATTGATAGTGGATATTATGATTTCTGTTAAATGAAATTGATATATGTGATTTCTAGCCACTACGCATTGGGTCCTTCGTGGGTAATGGATATTGTGATTTATGTTATATGAAACTGATATATGTGATTTTTGGCCACTACGCAAAGTAGTGGATACTGTGATTTATATTATATGAAACTGATATATGTGATTTCTGGCCACTACGCAATGAGTCCACCATTGGTAGTGGATACTGTACTGCCGACAAGTTTTGACTTTACCGTGACTCCAATTATAGGAGTGGAGTCCGGAGGTATCTATAAATAATACAGTGGGTCGTGCCCCCCAAATTTTTATAAGTACTACGCATTGGGTCCTCCAATGGTGGTGTAACACCCACAGCCTATCAAAACCCCACAGAACGTCGGGGACTGTATGTGTGAGTAAGGAAATTACGAAATGGGGCCTCCATTTTTCATTTTCCTCCCTCCTGAATGAGGGTTGAAGTCCTAAGTTATAGAATTGGCTTAGCCTGATCGATAGGGCTTCTACTTTAGGAGTATGCACTGTTAGCTTCTGTCCATATGTACTGTATGCCTTAGCTGAATTTCTGACTGTGTGATTTTGAGAAATGTTCATGTAACTATTAGCTCCTGTAAATGTGTGAAGTTTTAATACCTGAACTTTACTCTGTTTATTCCGCTAGTATACTATGATGCATGACATTGTTTTGTGATACCGCGTGAACCGTAATAATCTGTGAGCCTATTATCCCATATGTGGGCATGTAGGCAGAAATGCAAGGGTACTGATTTACTTACTGGGCTTTTAGCTCATACCCCTCTTTTTCCCTTCAATGTAGAGTGAGAACCGATAGCTCATTTGTGGACAGCTGGTCGGTGGTAGCAGACTTTTGAAGCTCGAGTTCTATCCAAGAGTCTTTCGATTGTAGGTGTCTGGTGGCCGTGCCACAATATCATTATGATGAATATTGTAATTTTGTTGTCAGGCTGGTGGCTCCTTGAACATTTTGTAAAATAATTTTTTGAGACTGAATATATATATATATATATATGGAATGGTTTTATTTTGTCCAGTTTGTGGCCTTTTGTTGTATGAGTTTATTTTGTTTCGTGGTCTGCTTTGATTCCGAAATTATATATCCGTTGGGCCACTCCCACCTAAGTGCCAGTCGTGACCTCCGGTCGCGATCCCGCACCCCGTCGCTCTCTGGCTTGGTACGGTAGAAGTCAGGGGCCGGGGTCGTGAGAATGAGATTAGAAGATTAGGAGAAATCTTGTGGCGTATTTTTTCTCTACCTCTTTGAAGTCATGGTTATCCGATAAAATCAGGGGAACAACTAGTTTGAGCCGCGAAATTTAAGAGAAATATTAGGGATTATGAGATTCGAAGATTTGGAGAAATCTTGTGGCGTATTCTCTCTTTACCTCGCTTGTGGCATTTTCTCTCACTTGTGGCGTATTCTCTCTCTACCTCTATGAAGTCATAGTTATTTGATAAAATCAAGTGAAACAACTAGTTTGAGCCCCTACATCAGAGGAGAATGGAAAGCTGATGACCCAGCCCATGATGCCTTACCTTCAAGAAGAGATCTCTCGACAATTCAAGCTCTTTATGCCTTGGGAATATCCAGACCAAGCAAAATTTCTCTCTCAATACGCTGGGTGAAACTTACCTCCCAAAAGAAACGCTGGGTGAAGGGGAGAGAGAGAGTTTAAAAAAACCCATTTTTGCCCATGTAATGTAGAGAATACGCAGGCTCACAAGAGAGAAAAAAAAATTTCAGTTATTGAAGAGCCAAAAATTTTAAACCGAAATTGGCTTGATTTTGGTTTTTGAAAAACCGAAAATGGGTAATTTCGTCTTTTTTAAAAAATTGTTATGAAGTCCAAAAAATGGACATATCAGTAATAACCTAAAGTATTCGGTATTTTGACAATAATGAAAACTAAAACGGATATTTATGTAATTTTTCCTTATTAATATTTAGGAGCATGTGTCTCATTTCTTCAATGGCCACCATTGGAATGATTTCAAAATCTAATAGTATCCAAGGTCGTAATGGTCTAGTCTACCATACAAGAAAGAGAATAGCATATAAGAATTGTATACTACAAGACCATTCATCATTGTTATAAGGTTACAATTGCTAATAGCCATTAAATTTCAAATTCGATGGCTTGGAGAATCTCACAAAGTTCAAAAAATGTTATTTGAGTCTAGTAAATGACATACTCAAAACCAATTTGAAATCTAGCAAATGCTTTTTCTAGCATAGAATAGTATATGTCCGCTCGAAATTTGCCATGTGTTTACATGTAATGCATTACATGTAGACGCATAACGACTAAAGGGTTGTGAATTGGGTCGGGTCTACACATGGGCTAGGATATCAACTAGGGATCGCTAAGTGTGTCAGTCCGCTGTTCAAAGTGCATGAACAAAGTTTGACAGACTTTAAGAGGAGGGATGGCATATTCCTTCTGTTTTCTATTGACAAATTACGGTTGGAGTAATATTGGAGGAAAATCTATTGAATTTGTTGTGCATGAACTCTTTAGGAAAATATTTCTTTTTAAAATCTGGATGATGAAAAATCTATTTCACTTTTTATCAGTAAGACAATTGAATATTGTGGTTACTTTTTCAACAATCAATTTTGACGTGTCAAACTTTGTTTCAATTTCTACAATGCTCTTTTCTTCTTTCTTTAAGACAAATAGATGTTCACTCTTATATTAATATGATGCAAAGTGCATTAAAATTTTTTGATTTTGATTTTTATATTTTTTATTTTATAACGTATTTTTGAATCATCAATTTTCAAGATTTTATAAATTTTTTTAAATTTTAAACTTTATAAATAGAGATGAAAATATCTAAATACATCAGAAAGATTCTCAATATTAAAACTGAAAGATTTTCAATATTAAAACTGTCGACACCGCTCTAATTTGATTGGTTATAAACCACACCCTTTTTAGAGAGAGAGCGTGAGAGGTCTCTTTTTCACAGGAAGAAAGGCAACCGAGTGTTTTAGAGAGAGAGAAGGGGAGAGGTCTCTTCTTTCACAGGAAGAAAACCAGGGAGTGTATTTGTGAGAGAGAGGTCCCTTCTGCCTGGTAGTGATCCCGCGATTTTTTTAGGGTTATGAGAATATTGCAGAAGCAAACCCGAATTTGAGAGAGAAAGGAGCAGTGGAGAGAGTCTAGAGAGAGAAAGAAGAAGCAGAGAGTCTAGAGAGAGAAAAACATTTGCAGGAGAGGCACACAGAGAAGGGAGAGAGACCGAGTTGTACGCTAACGGAGAGAGGAGGAAGAAACTCTACAAAAGGCTCTTCGTGCCCCTCTCTATTTCCCTCTGTCTATCTCACATGGAGACAGAGCATCTCCAATCTTTTGCTTTTGCCTGGAAATTAGGGTTTGCTGGAGCATTTAATGGAGAGCGCTTGGGTTTGAGGAAATTGTGGTGGAAAAGCTAGAAAGAGCATTGATAGTGAGAGGAAGAGATAGGGTTACTATTTGTACACCTCTGACTTTATGGTGTTGGATTGTTGGGAGCTTTTTATCTAGTCTTAGTGTTCCTTTGTGTTTTGTTAAGTTTGACAGAAGTATAATACATGATAAGGAGAAGAATTATTGAAAAGGGCACAGAGAACAAACTTACCTGCCATGTTTATGTATGCTAATATGAAAGGTGCCAGGGCGTTTATCTGTAGCACTTGAAGTGATTGGAATTGTTTTAAGAAGGTGAAGAACCATACAGAAGAGGTTCAGTATTAGAGAGAGAAGGAGATCATCTAAACACAAACTCGTTTAAATTAGTCTTGACATTTCTCTATGGTCAAGTATTCAGCTTCTCAGTGGAGGAGGCTTGATGGGGAACGAGGTTTCTAGTTCTAAGTCCAGCATGGATTTTTCGTTTGCATTTGACCGATGCAAGGTTCTCGGATAGGGTTTTGAGGATCGAAATCATGGAAGATAATGAACCTGGTCTCAAGAATGAGAAACAAAGCAAGGCCAGGCAACAAAATGATGGTATAATTTTCCTTCTTTGCCTCCTCCATATTAATTTTCTGTACTCTCTCTTCATGCTCAACTTTTTTTCCTCTGTCAATGTGTTTCTTCTCTTTATGCTCGTGTTTGTCATGTTCTGCTTGATGAGTGTTTACTCTGTGCTTTTGATTTTTGGGTTTGCCTTTTGCGTGTATGAGATAGAGGTAATAATGCTCAAGAAATGGGGGATAGATAAAAAACAGAGAAGGGTTTATTTGCTACATTTCGATATTTTGAAGTTCCAGCCTTCTAGGCAAGTAGTTCTGTTCATCCAGCGAAATAGATGTTACTGGGCATAAAGTTTGACTCGAAATAATTGGATTGTATATTAGGAGACCATTTATCATTGGTATAAAGAAGTCACAATTATTTCTAGTTATTACATCTCAAATTGGTTGGCTTGGGGTGTCTAACAAAGTTAAGAATTTTTTTGTTTTTTTTTTTTAATTTTGAGTCTAGTCAATAATACTATTACAACCATCTAATTTGAAATATGAGAGACAAGAATAAGTGCAACCTTAAAAAGTAAATGGTCTGTTTCTATACTTTTCCATTACTTTGGGTGTCAATGAAAAGTAGGATAAGAAAAGCCTTGCAGACAATTACTTGGGGTAAGCTTCAAAAGAAGCCAAATGAGGGTAGGTTTTAATTACAAGGTAAAGCCAAATCCTAGTGATGTTTTTGAGAGTTATAGAACCTCACTGAGAGTTCAATGACACTCATGACTGTGGTAATAGTTTCGAAGATGTTTTGCACTTATATTTGAAACAAGAGGATGCGCTTGTAATATTAATAGAAACCAACCTCTCTATTGGTTTGATGCTAAAAAATAAAAATGAACTTTCTACAGGGAAACCCACAATTAAATATCAAAGTTCAATCAGGTTGCAGCTTCCTGAAACCAATGCTTTTTGTGTGTTGCCTCCAAAAGTAGGTTCATAGGTTTAGCTAGGCTTCCAAGGTTTTGTTTGCCAAGTTTGCGTTGAAAAATTACGGGTGTTGAGTTCAAGAATTTTGAACCTGATGACATCATGTTTGTTAAGTACACAAGAAAGGTGAAGACATGATTGTCTCCCTTCAAAGGTTTCGCAGAAGTTTTAGAAATCCATGAAAATTTCGTAGCTTATTTTGGGCATGTTTTGATGATCTTCCAAGGGCTTAAAGATTCACTCATATTGGAAAAAATCTTCTCATTCTACTTTTGATGTGTTTGGTTAGATGCCTCGATCTCGCCTTCCGAGTCGGGATGACCTGGTGACGTGGTTTCGGGTTCGAGATACGCCCAGGACCTGAGACCGTTCTCTCGCGACCGTGTAAGGAGGATGTGTGCAGGAATACCAACCGGTGAGAGAGGAATTGGGTCGTGAGGCGAGACTTACTTCACGTGGGGTCATAACACGTTCGGGCTAACTTGCATGGGCGCCCTGGCCTGTGGCCGGTTCGAAATAGCTTCCCTTGGCTTATTTCTTCTTACCTGCAAACACACACACACATATTAGAATACAGACAAGTAGGTCTGAGGATCCCACCTTGTCATAGGGTGGGCTGAGCGCATACGTGCGTGTGTACTCGAAGAAAAATGGAAAATAACATGATGGAGTCCATGTCAATTTGACAGCCTTTCCGTCTCCTCGACGAGGGACTCTTAATACATATCTTACAGTAAAGAAAGAAAGAAAAGGATGAGATAAAGAGAGTGAAAGAAAAGGCCAAAGAGAAGAAAGAAAGAAGGATTTGAAGGCTGGTTTGCTTTTCGTCCAGTTCTCCAAAGAAAAGGGAAAAAAACTGAAGGCTGGTCTGCTTTTCACCCAGTATTCCAAAGAAATGATAAATTTAAAAATAGTCTGCTTTTCACCTAGTACTCCAAAGAAATAAAGAAAGAAGAAATTGAAGAATGGTATGCTTTTCACCCAGTATTTCAAAGAAATGAAGAAAGAAGAAATTGAAGGCTGTTTTGCTTTTCACCCAGTACTCCAAAGAAAAGAAAGGGAAAGAAACTGAAGGCTGGTCTGCTTTTTACCTAAAACTCCAAAGGTAATGTGTATTTTGGAAAAGAAAGAGAAAAGAAATAAAAAAAAGAAGGATGAAGCCTAGTATGTCTTTCAACTAGTCCTCCAAAGAAAATGTATATTTTAAAGAGAAAAGGGGAAGGAAGGTTGGTTTGGCTTTCACTCAACTCTTCAGAGAAAAAGAGAGACGAAGGCTGGTTTGTTTTTCACCCAGATCCTTCAGAGATGAAATATATTTTCGAAAGAGAATAAGGCCTAGTCTGCTTTTCACTTAGTCCTCATAATGCAAGTGAATAAAGAAAAATAAAGAGTGGAGGCTTGTTTGGCTTTCACTTGGCTCCCCAATAGAAAGGATTGAGAAAAATGAAAAGAGAGAAGAAGACTGGTTTGGCTTTCACCCATATCTTTTAGAGAAAGAGAATGGAGAAATGGAGACTAGTTTGTTTTTCACCCAGATCCTTGAGAGACGAAGAAAGAAAAGTATTTGCTTTATTAGAGAGAGGAAGAAGAAAAAAGATGAGAGAGAGTGAAGGTGTTAGCTTGGCTCTCGCTAAACCTTCCAAAAGGGAGAAGAGATGAAAAAAATTGAGAGAAGAGGAGAAGAAAAGATGGAAGAGAAGTGAAAGAGAGAGAGGATGTTTGACCAGGCGGCTAGACTGGCACAGTGATAAGATTGGCACGGTGGCTGGTCTGACGCGGCAACTAGACCGGCACGGTAACTAGACCGGAACGGCAGCTAAACTGCTCGATGACAAGACTGGCACAACGGTTGGTCTGGCGTAGTGGCTAGTCTGACACGGCAGCTAGACGGGCTCGGTAACTTAGACCGTCACAATGGCTAAACTGCTCGAGGACAAGACTGACACGACAATACAAAGTTTAGCCTGCCCTCTAGTCAAACAAGCAAAGGAGAGAAAGAGGAGAGGTGAAGACTAACTTGGATCTCGTTAGATCTTCAAAAGTGAAATAAGAGTGAGAACGAAATAAGAAAATGAGATAAAATGAAATGAAAGAGAGAAATTAAATAAAATTAAATTAGAAAATGGAATGAGAACGAAATAAAATAAAATAGGTAAAGGAATAAATTAAAATAAAATTGAGTGAAGTAAAATAAAATAAGAGGGATAAAAGAAAAGAAAATAAAATTAGATGAGGTAAATAAAATAAATGAATGAAATAAAGTAAAGTATGGTAGGATAAAATACGTGAAATAAAATAAATAGAATAAAATAGAACAAAGGAAAATAAAATGAAATGAATGAAATAAAATGAAATGAATGAAATAAAATAAAATGAATGGAAAGGGGTGGAAGAAATAAAACAATATAAGATGGTGTAAAAATAAAATAATAAAAAAAGGGCAACTAGTTAAGAGAGGGAGAAAGCTTATTGCTAGGTTTTTGTGTGAATGAAAGAAAGTAAATCATTACAATAAAGAAATGGTGCTTTAGTTAAGAGAGAGAGAGAGAGTTGGTTTATTGGGTTATTTAGTTGAGAGACAGAGAGAGAGAGAGAGAGAGAGAGAGTTGGTTTATTGGGTTTTTAAGTTGAGAGAGAGAGAGAGAGTTGGCTTATAGTTTTGTTGTGTGAATGAGAGAGGGTAACGTTAGATAATAAAAAAAGGTGGATTACTTAAGAGAGAGGAGGCTTGAGGTGGGACAAACGAAATAGGGTGTAAGGGAGGGGAGAAACGAAACATTGACAACAAAAAAAAAGAAAACAACGAAACGAAACGAAACAATGAAAGGGGAAGGGCTACGCGATGGGTTTTCTAGACAGAGAAAGCGAGCGTTTGCAGGGAGACGGGTGAGAGAGCAAGCAGGAAGGTATTGAAGAATACATTGGCGAGGAAGGGAGGCTGGGAGCAGGGAGAGGTGAACGAGACAGGCTGAGGTGGAGCATGGCGGAGAGAGAACGGAAATGGCAGGGATGGCAGGTAAATGGCCGAGAGTGAGGAGGCGGTGAAATGGGCAGAGGAGGTGGCTGCAGCAGGAAGTGGCGGAGAGAGAGGGGACTGTGAGAGTAGGTGGAGAGGGATGGGGCTGCGAGAGTAGGTGGAGAGAGGTGGGGCTGCGAGAGTAGGTGGTAGCAGGGAGTTAGAGAGAGAGAGCAGCAGGGTGGATGGGAGTCACAGAGGATGGGAGACAGAGCAGTGGTTGGCAGAGATGGGGTGATTGAGGGCAGCAGAGGATTAGAGAGAGGTGAGAGCAGGGTGGAGACTGGCGCACGGCAGGAGAAGGGTGGAAGTTGGCTTGGCAGGGTGTGGGTTGTGCACGGCTGTGGAGGAGAGGGCTCGGTGGTGCACGGGCTTAGCGGGATGAGAAAGTGGCTTGGCAGGGTTGAGGGCGAGGCGCATGGCAGTGAGACGTGGCGCACGACAATGGGAGGTGGTCACGCGACAGGGAAAGGTGGTCGCGAAGGTGCACTGGGAGAAGGTGGTCGTGAGGATGCACGGGGAGAAGGTGGTCGTGCGACATTGTAGGATGATGCGCGGCAGTGAGGTGGTCGCGCGAGAGCAGGACAGACAGAGGTGGTCGCGAGGGTGCACTGGGAGAAGGTGGTCGTGTGGGGAGCATGAAGAGAGAAATAGAGACGAAGCATGAATAAAACACGGGCGGCCGTGAAAATGAGGAGAGAGAAGAAGAATGAAAAGAGAGATGGGAGAGAGAGAAAGAGAGAAGAGAGAGAAAATGAAAAGAGAAAGTGAATGAAGAGAGAGAGAGTTGCCTTGAGCTCGAGGGTACCAACACAAAAATTTCTATGTTCTCTCTCTTCAAACGTGACCCAACAAAAAACAAAACAATAGGAATTTTATTAAACCAAAGTGGGGTACTTAATACAATGCCAATACGTGATATATATATATATATATATAGAACCTATCCAAACATGGGTATATGATCAAAATTTAACCTAATCGATGAAAATTAAACATTTAAATGAATTAAAAAAATTCTAAAATTGAGAATAAAATGACGATTTTACCTTTGCACCAACAATCTGTAAAATTTTCAATCAGGCTTTATTTCTTTGAGCAAACTTTCTATGGTTGATTCGAGACCTTTTCGGTTGCCATCCGGTCAAAATAGTACTGTATTCTTGATGAGCTCGAGAAGACGATCGTTTGGGTATCCATTTCGATTCATAGATCAGAGTTTTGGACTACGATCACGATGTAGCAAAACATGGGAACACGTGCAACTTTAGATTTAAGATTTAGCTCGTTTCTCAATGTTTTTCATCGATTTCTTCGTTGCAGCATGATAAACAAATTGCCACGGTCATTTTACAAAAAGAATGACTCGATTTGGTGCCCGGGCGACCGTTTTCGAAAATGGGAAACTTTGGTAAGAATCTAGATTCCGGTGCCCGGAATTTACCACTATTCATCCCTGATTTTTGAGGAATCCGACCGTCCATCACGCGCGAGGTTCGACCTGGAGGAAGCTCTTGACTTCGTGGTCGTAACGGGTGTTATTTTGCGTTGATCTGACGGGCGAGCGCCGTGATGCGGGCGTTTGATCGAGGAGACATGCTGTTGGAAATTTCTTGCTACTTTTGGAATTTTTTGGCGAACTTCTCTTCGATTTCTCCTGGCTCAGGCCATGTCATCGCGCGTGTCATATATCAAGTCGACTGGGTCGTCAAGACGAACATGCTCCCAAAATTTGGGCTCGATTCGATCCAAGATGAGGAAGATATGGTCATGAAAAGGTTGCCTCAGAAATTGTGATACACAGTTTCTATTAAGTTCACCGATGGTGTACCGTAATAGTGTACAACCTACGTATTTTGGATAATGTGGCCATAACTTGCTCCGAAAGCATTTGAATGTGACGAAAATTAGTACCCTGAGGTTTTCGAATGTTTTGAATCCAACAACGATGGTCTGGAGACCATTTGACGCTCCGATAATGATATTGTAGTTCACAGTCCATTTTTAGCATGATATAGGCAGAATTTTCAAAACTGTTTTTTCCTCTGCATTGCCTTAAATTTGTCGGATTGCGACGAAACTTGGCAGGTGTTCTTAGGAGACCCTTAGCCCCGATCCTACGCCTTTTTAGGTCATTCTGAGATTGTGGGAAATTTCACTTCTGGATCAGGGCTTATTGTCCTATGGCTTCCGTAGTCCACAAGCTTTTTAGTACCTGCGGACCTAGGTCGCGCACTGTTCTCTCCTTATTCGCACCGGGGATACGAGTGATGGAAACTGACCTCAAACATTTTTCTGTTTTGTTTGTTCTGGATATTTGTTCATCACCTTGATCTTCTTCAGTATTATTCATTTGACGACTCACTTTCATTGTAGGAAATGACATGGAAAACAACAGTGTTCCATCTTCGAGCAAAGATTGTTCAACTGTTTTAAGAGTGAAAAGAGTACATATTGTATCTGCCATTTTGGTTGCAAGAAGTCCATACTTTTACAAGGTATGATGCAACTTTGCTTCCAATTATGTTTATGTAGCTTTTATGAATGAAATAACTGAAATGGATCTTGATTTTGAAGCTTTTCTGTAATGGCATGTATGAATCCAACCAGAAAGATGTGACACTACGGATCAATGCATCTGGTAAAATCAATAATATATAAGAAATTATATTTCAATCATTAACATGAAAACATATCAAGAAAGATTTTCCCAACCTTTCTTATGTGAGGCTTCAAAGGCATTTGAGCTGTCTCGTAAGGTTTTGATTATCTATCTGCCCATTCTGCACCACGGATGATACTTTTATGCCTAAAATTTCATTTTTTCAGTGTTGATGACAAATTTAATGTTGTCAACCTCTATGTTACATTTTCACATTTGTTGAAACTGTGGTAATTTGTTATAAGAAGTTATGGAATTTTGGGAGTTCTAAAAACCAGCATGTTCCTACACTTGTTTACCTGAAACTTAATACTCTTTTGGAATTTCAATTTGAATAGCAAGGGCCTAGTAGGATTCACAATGATTTCAAAGAATGTCAAAAAATTAGATGAGAAGAATGAAATATTATTTATTTGGGTTAATTTAATTTGGGAATTTCCAGTTTGCCTAGAGCAATATGCCTGTGATAGAGAGTTTCTATGGAAAGAAAATTTAAGTTGAGAGGAAACCATTGATCTACAGCCTAATTTATAGTATGTTTGTTCCCTTGCATGCGCAAACCTTCCCATTAGTGTTGATGTGCATACCCAATAGTTATAGCACACCAAATAACACTGAATTTGATATATCTTGTGTTTGAAACAGAGGAGGAAGCTTTCATGGACCTACTGAAGTTTATGTACAGTGGGGCGATGTCAACAAGTTCTCTGGAACTTCTAATGAACTTGATGGTGATTGCCGACAAATTTGATGTTGTTTCATGCATTCACCAATGTGGCCTATTGCTGAGTAGTTTCCCGATGACACCAGCACGTGCCTCACAGTATTTAGAATTTCCTTTTAATACGTTAGATGCAGTAAAACTTCTCATAGATGCTGCTAAGCAGTGCCTTGCAGAGCATCAGTGCGAGTTTTTTCAGTACGCATTCTCTCTTTCTTGCATGCTTTCATAATTAATTTCTACATTATTTGTTAAGTACGCATTCTATCGTTCTTGCATGCTTTCATAATGAATTTCTACATTATTTGTTTCCCCTTGCTTACCATTGCTGAGCATCAGTGTGAGTTTTTTAAGTACGCATTCTCTTTTTTGCATGCTTTCATAATTAATTTCTACATTGTTTGTTTCCCCTTGCTTACAATTAAGAAAAGCTCATTTCTTTCTTGAAAGCTTGAATATTTAATTGATTGTGATATTAATAATCATGGTTAATCTCCCTTTGTTACCAATGATTGGAACATGTGCATAAGCACACAATATATTGTGACATGGCGTATGGTGATAATGAAAGTTCTTGTGGAGATAAATTCACATCTGTTTTTCCCGGTAATTATGCAGTGGCTAAGGGTGGTATCTGTGTCAACAAACTAGATGTGGGACCTATAGTGGGAAAGTAGGATATAGTGAGGTTAGGAGTCCTTATGAAAGATGGTTTAGGATATACCTGGTATTGAAAGAAAGATTTGAGAATACGGGGTATCTATAACAACTATTGTTGCTTCAAACAATTTTGAATGATTTAGGTCCCATTTGGATGGCTTGAACAACTTTGACAAACCATGTGAGTTATCTATAAATGGGGGAAAAATATTTTTTTTTTTCAGTGTCAGAGGTGTTTGGTGGCGTTTGTTGATAAGCGAGGTTACAACAAAAGTCCGTCACGTCTGAATAGTGGAATGGACCAAGCTGGGCCGCTTTTACTTCTACATGGCTCGAGGAAAACACGGTTGCTGGTTAAAATATTTGGTCCATCTAAATGGGGCCTTAGGGGATGGAGAAATCTCTTACCCAATCCAATAATCTTGTTGGATACCATATGAAGTTTCCAAAACCCAAACCAAATTTTGATTTTTGAATATTTTGTTAAGTGTTTGATAATTAAAAAATAGGAAAAGTTGAACAAGCATCAAGACAATTTGAAATATAAATTATCATACTCTGCGGTATCCTATAAAATATCAGAAGAAAGCAGTATTTTTTAAGTGTATGTAGTGAATATCTCTTGAAAAGTCCTTGAGGTTCCAGGATTCCCCTAAATCAATGAAACTCAGTTTGGAGTGCTTGCACAACAACTGGGCTTGTGGATGCGGTTCTGTAAAAACCCGATTCTCTAGAATAATTCTTGTTTAATCTAGCATCTGGACATGATCTGACCTGGATTTTCTGCAATCAATGTATATTGAAGATTTCTGTTTTCCTTGAGTACTCACTGGGATGCTACAATTGAGAATGTGCAACATGTGAAAGGATTGAGTGGTATGTTCATTCACTGCATTAAGTACTAAGATTGATTCCAATATCATAGATGGAACAGGTGCAGTCTGTATTAACAAAGAAACTCACTACATCTCGTCAGAAATGAACTTGAAGGCACATCTATGTATGTGTCATTATCTAAGGCTTATTTTATTCATGAAGAATTCCATAATTGTTGGGCCAGATTCATGTGATGATTTGAAAGAATGGTATCTATCTAGTACATATTATTGCCTTATGACTTGCCGTCATTTTCTCATTATGAGTAAGATTATATTTCTTTCTTAGCCTTTTGACTAAGATCAAGTGTATGATCATATTGTCATTCACCTGCTTCTGATTTAGGGAGGTCTTCTGTGACATCTAATGTGTTAGCATATGGTCCTTTTGTGCATTATGGTGACGTGAGTTTGATGGATGTCACCAAGTATGGAAGCTTCTTGTGAGTGTTGGCCTTCACCAGTTTCCTTTCAAAGGCCAGGCATTGTGTGCTACTGGATTTGGTCTTATGATTATTTGTTCAACAGGGTCCCACTATTGGATTATTGTCTCCTCTAGTGCTGTTGATGGCTACTGGATACTGTTAGTGACATGGTATGAATCCCAAACACCACTTTTCATGTCTTGGATGTTAAGATGGTTGGGTACTGCCAAAATGCAATACTCTTTAAGAACTATATTGTTTGTGGTTTTTATGGGGAAGTACCCCCCTTTTAGTGTTATTGAAGTTTTGAAAATATCCGTTCCAATTGGTAAACTGTTGATCTAAATTTGCTTGAAGCGAGAAAATTTTTACTTTCTCATGTTGAGAAACGCACAGGAAGCGGACGCCCTTTAGTGTGTAGCAAAGCCTAAAACTAGGTTGCATCAGCATTCCCAATACAACTAAAATTGATTTTAGTCAATTTTTTATAAAAATCGGATAGTCTAAACCCCCCCCCCCCCCCACATGCCATTTGTGTCTTGATGGCTTAAAAACATAGAGAAAGTGCAGATGCATGATCGAAAAACAATTATCTAGATATTTTCCCATGGAAGAACATGTAGAGTCTTAATTTAGTAATTTGTATCGAGCTAGTTTTTGGAGTTCTTATCCTCTCCTCACTGTTTTAGTTGCAATGCATTGTCCTTTGCCAACAGGTACAACGATGAGGAGTTGATCTCCCTACCTCTACTGGCTATTGAGCAGTTGTTATTGAGTAAGAAGCTACTATTGCAATCAGAGGACGAGGTGTTTAACTTTGCCCTGAAGTGGGCACGTGCTAAATACCCCAAGCTTCAGGAGCGATGTGATATCCTATGCTCAAAACACATCCCCCTCATCCGATTCCCTTACATGACAACCCACATGCTCAAAGAAATTCTTAAATGCGAAGATTTGGAATATGGCCTCATCTCAAAGGTGGTGTTGGATGCCTTTTTATTTAAGGCCGAGGCCCCGAAAAAACAGCAGGCTCTTATGGCTGAGCGCACGTACAAATTCCACCATGTGAAGGTGTTGGACTGGGAGACACCCCACAATGAATGCATCGTCTTGTTTGATCTGCGCCGGGAGGAATGTGCTTCCCTATTTCCAAAGGGAAGCATATATTCAGACTGGTTCCATCTAAGGGCTCATAAGTTCTACCTTTCCGCAGAATGCAAGGATCAGGGGAATAGCTCCGAATTCTTTGGTCTCCACTTGGGGTTTGAAGGCATAGAGAGCGTTAAAGTTAAGTTCAAGTTTGCTGGGCAGTTGGCATCAAGGTATTTATCATATCCAGATTTATCATTCACACACACCTTCACCAAGAAGGAGCTCTATGGGTGGTCCAACGTCTTTAGCATCTCATGGTCCGAATTTATGAAGGATAATGGCCCCTACTTCATTGATGGCGTGGTTCATTTGCGCTTCGAGGTTGCCATTATTCAGTGAACTTGCCAAGCTTGGATGGCTCGCTTTTCTGCTTATAGCTTAGCAGATCCAGTCTCATGCACTGTTTGATCAATGCGTGAATGAGTGCATAAGACGGTTTAATTTGCGTTATCAGGCTCTTGATGATATGGTCCACAAGAGAGCTAGACAACTTTTATATTTGTCATTTTATGTGAACAGTTGATGTTTGATCAGCCAAAAGTTTGCCAGTGAATGGCCGTTTTGCCTCGTTACTAACCTACATGTATAATTTCTTCAAACTTCGACTTAGGGCCCTAAGATTTTGAGATTCGCAGGCAATGAAGTGGGAGCTTGTCACTTTCATGCTGTACACACATGCAACAATGGAAGTTTGCTTTCACTTTAGCCCCCCATGACAGCAAATGTACCATCTCATTCAATGATCCAACCATATTATTGGGATTCACCAATTATTTCTCTCTCTCTATAATGGAGTTGCAATACATGGGGGTGGGGTGAAAAGTAGCCCTTGGGCTTAAGCTAGGCATGCACCAATTATTTTAATGACTCTAGGGTCATGTTTCTGGGCTGTTGCCAGAGTTCCATCACGTGGTGAGTAGACTTCATTGGGAATGTATTATTTAGTCGAAAAGTAATTTGTCAGTAGAGGGGCGCATAGCTATATTTGCAGCCACCAAAGCGTCACACATCCATATGAAAAATGGATGAATTGTGGTCCCAAAAACCGTAAAATCATCGGTTCAAATTTTTTTTAAAAAGATTATTATTTTTGGTATTTATTTATTTTACACATCATAATCTCCATGTTAGAAATTGTACACACATAAAAATTAGGTGCAAATCTAAAAAATGGATCATGAAGTGGAGACGCATATCTACATAAGTATCCTAGCATTCATGAAAACTGTGTCCTTGTGTAGTTTAAAGACAGTGGTAAGCAATAATTAATGGAATATAAAGGAAAAGTTTTTATTTTGCTGAGTTGAAATGAATTCAAACGACAAAAGCTCAAAAATTTATCAAGTATAATTTGTAATAGTTGGCAATTGTTCTATTTGATTGTTATGGTCTCGTTTGGCTACATAGGTTAACAAACCGAGGTTTTGAATCAAAACCTATAATGTCTTGGTTATGTTAAAATCTGGTTACTCAAACATGACTTGTTTGGATGGTTTTGATACCCAGATTATGCAAATCTCATATTTGGATATCTTTATGTATAACCTGGTTTGCTATCAAGGGTTGTTTAACAAGAAAATATTTACATGAAAAAATTGAGGGTGGTTTGTATAAGGTTGCAACCTTAAACAATCCAATTAAGGTGCACCTCTAAATTTTATTATAAATATAATTTTAATTTAAAAAATTCTTAGGATGGCTTGAGAATCTATTTTTATCTCTAATTGTAAAATTTTAAACTTTAAAAATGGTTCAAAACTTCAAATCAAGTAGATATATAAACACATAATTTTTTTGAAAATGGATGGTCTAGATAATGTGTTGCAAGATACACTATTTTGCAGACTCAAAATCGTTTTTTTTTTTCATTTTCATATATCTCAATATCGAAATGATAAATTAGAGGGTTTTCCAATATCCAAACAACCATTTTGTGATGGATTTTTGAACTGTACCTTTAATTCTACATTTTAAGGTTGCAACTTTATATAAATTTTTCCCAAAAAAAAAAGTATATATGCAAACAGTTTACCAGAAAAGAATACTTAAGCATACTTTTTTCTATGTTTGGCGAACACAATTGGAACACAGAGATGGAACACATAAAACTTGAAATTTTGAGATAGTTTATCTTTCTAAAATTTTTGAGATAGTTTATCTCTCCAAAACATTAAATTTTGATATAGTTTCTCTTTCTAAAATTTTTGAGATAGTTTATCTCTCCAAAACATTAAATTTTGATATAGTTTCTCTCTCTACAATTTTTGTAATAGTTTCTCTCTCTAAAAAATTGATATTTCAAATAGTTGACAATTTCTCTCTCCAAAATTTTGAGATAGTTTCTATCTCTATAAATTTTCAGGTAGTTTTTCTCTTTAAAATTTGATATAGTTTCTCTTATTAAAATTTTAAGATACTTTTCCTCTCTAAAGCTTAAAATTTGAGATAGTTTCTCTCTAAAAATTTTGAGATACTTTATCCCTCTAAAAGGTTTCAGGTAATTTCTCTCTCTCAAATTTGATATAATTTCACTCTCTAAAATTTTAAGATACTTTCTTTCTCTTAAATTTGAAATTTGATATAGTTTCGCTCTCTAAAAATTTTGAGAAAATTTCTCTCTTAAATTTTCAGATTATTTCTCTCTAAAACTTAAAATTTGATATAATTTCTTTTTATTAAAATTTTGAGATAGTTTCTCTTTAAAAAAATTTAGATAATTTCTCTCTCTAAAATTTGATATAACTTTACTCTCTGAACTTTAAAGATACTCACTCGCTCTAAAATTTTTTTGGCAGTTTCTCTTTTTAAAATTTTAAGATACTCTTTCTTTAAAAATTTTCTGGTAATTTATCTTTCTAAAATTTTAAGATTCTTTGTCTAAAACATGAAATTTGAGATAGTTTTTCTCTCTAAAAATTTTGAAATAGTATCTCTTCAAAAAACTTTAGGTAGTTTCTCTCTCTAAAATTTGATACTCTAAAATTTTAAGATACTTTATCTCTCTAAAACTTGAAATTTTGAGATTATTTCTCTAAAAAATTTAATATAGTTTCTCTCTAAAAAATTATGTAGTTTTTCTTTCTAAAATTTGATATAGTTTCACTCTCTAAAATTTTAAGATACTTTCTCTCTCTAAAACTTGAAATTTGACGTAGTTTTCTCTCAAAATAATTTCAGGCAGTTTCTCTCTTTAAAATGTGATATAGTTTCTCTCTCTAAAATTTAATATAGTTTCTCCGTTGAAAATTTTAAAATACTTTTTCTCTCAAAAACTTGAAATTTGAAATAGTTTATCTCTCTAAATTTTTAGAGATAGTTTATCTCTCTAAAATTTTAAGACACTTTCAATCTCTAAAATTTGAAATTTGAAATTTGAAATTTGATATAGTTCCTTTCTTTAAATATTTTTGAGATATTTTCTTTCTCTAAAATATTTCGGGTAGTTTCTCTCTCTAAAATTTGGTAACGTATTTCTCTCAAAAATTTTAAGATACTTTTTATATCTAAAACTTAAAATTTGACATATTTTCTCTCTCTAAAATTTTTGAGATAGTTTTTCTCAAAAAAATTTCAAGTAATTTCTCTCTCTAAAATTTGATATAGTTCCACTCTCTAAAATTTTAAGATACTTTTTATGTCTAAAACTTTAAATTTAATATAGTTACTCTCTCTCAAATTCTTAAGATAGTTTCTCATTCTAAAAAAATTGATATAGTTTCTTTCTCTAAAAATTGATATAGTTTCTCTCTTTGAACTTTTAAGATACTCTCTAGCTAAAACTTACAATTTGATACAATTTCTCCCTTAAAATTTTGAGAAAGTTTCTCTCTTTAAAATGTTTTAGGTAATTTCTTTCTCTAAAGTTTAATGTAGTTTTTCTCTCTAAAATTTTAAGATATTCTCTTTAAAACTGAATATTTGATATAGTTTCTCTCTAAAAACTTTGAGATAGTTTCTCTCTAAAATTTGATATAGTTTCTCTTTCTAAATTATGATATAGCTTTTTTCTCTGAAATTTTAAGATATATTTTCTTTCTAAAACTTGAAAATTGATCTTAGTGTCTTTCTTTAAATTTTTTTGAGATAGTTTCTCTCTCTAAATTTTTTTGCGATAGTTTCTCTCTCTAAAATATTTCAGGTATTTCTTTTTTTAAAACTTGATATAATTTATCCCTGTAAAATTTTAAGATATTTTTTCTCTTTAAAACTTGATATTTGAGATAGTTTCTCTCTCTAATTTTTCTTGAGATAGTTTATTTTTTTAAAACATTTTGAGTTAGTTTTTCTTTCTAAAATTTGATATAGTTTCTCTCTCTAAAATTTTAAGATATTTTCTCTCTCTAAAACTTAAAATTTGAAGTAGTTTCTTTCTTTAATTTGTGGGAATGTTTTGGTAGAATTAATGGTATTTAATAAAGTGGGCATTTTAGTTGTGTGAAAATAGTATTATCCTCAGTTGCATTATATTGTATTCTCTCTCTCGTGTTTACACAAATCATGATTCGGCTACCCAACTTTTTAGCCATCTTTCTTGGTTATAGAAAACATGATTGTATCCAAAACAAAAGTTACCAAATATGTTTTTATGCAAAATACCGTGGATAAAACATGATATTTGGTATCCTCGGATCCAAACGACACAGAAAGGCCTTAAGAAACTCCATCTTTACTGGCTTGGGTTTACTGTAGTCAAAACATTATGATGAAGTTTTTATAGGGCCTAGGCTTTATGAAAACAAAATAAAGCCTCATAAAATCTTCATCTGGAGCGCACTTTCAGATCCTAATTTTTAACACCGATAATAAAATTAAAACTAAAAAAATGGTACAAATCTTGCAGAACACTTATTTTTAGAGAGAAATGGATGGCTTAGATGATTTGTTGCAATATACACTACTTTTAGAATTTCAAATCCTAATGTTTTTGCACAACTATAATGTTCAAGCTGGGATAATCAATTTAAGGGATTTTCAAAACTTGAATTCAATTTTTGATAAGTTATGAGTTGAGGCTTTACTTTAACCATTTTCCTGACATTATAATCGTGACCAAAATGGCTCAACTGTGGCATGCATAATTGAGGTCAAGGTGCATAGCATATGTCAAAATGATTAAAGGAATAACTATGGTTTCAAATGCATCACCAAAGTTTGATATTGCTAATGTGAGGTCAAAAGAATTATGGCAAACTCTAACTTCTAAATGAAACTTGTTCCTCCACTGTTCAAAGTATGCTTGAGTTCCAAAAGAAAGAAATCAAAGTTCGTGGAAACCCAAACAGTCATATTGCTTTGACTATAAGACTTGGGGGTATAACATGGTTGCATTGTCTTTGAGGTATTTAATGGGGGACTTAAAAAGATGAATTATGCAATCGGGTTGCGCTGAGAATACCTCCACGATACAACCAAACATAACAAGGCACTGTATACACTTATTCTAGTTGCTCGACCATGAAAAGTCTCTGAGCAATCCCTTGGGTGATTTTCCCTTGAATAGTTGGGACAAAACTATGACATTGTCCAAATTTGATAGAATTTTGTTTGATAAAAAGTTATTTCTCTTTGAAAAACTTGC